AGGAAGATGATGATTGTCCATCAATTGTTGAAGATACTGTAACTGTTACTGCCATAATTAATTAATGGAATAAAGCTAGCACTTACCTGAAGTAGATGATATAACTGTAACTGATGTACTGGTACTAATATCAGTAGTTAATGTAACTAATAATAGTGTACAATATATCATGTACTAATGAATAATGAATTAACTGTACAGACCTGATGATGGAGCATTAGTAACTGAACTAGTGGTCACTGTAGGAGTAACAGTTACACTGACTATTAATGACAACAATTGATGGGTTCTTAAAATCAACTGTTAATACCATTAACAGTAGCTGATGGTCCATATCCAATAACATTAACAGGAATGATAGTAACAGTGTAGTTTGTATCAGTAAGAGGTAGTCCAGTGATAGTAATATTAGTATCATTAGTATTATTAGTGTATATAATACTGTTTGATGTATTGTATACACTAATAATGTAATACTGAATAGGAGGAACTGGTATAATGGAATATTCCTAAATATTATTAATATCAAGAGTAGATAATTATCCACTCTTGTTAAACTCTTGTTAATATGCATACTATTATAATATTGTAACTTTTAACACACTTGCATTTGTGTGTTATTCCACCATATTGTAATACTATCAGTTGATATCTGATCCCAACTAATATTAACAACTTGAGCTGGTACTATAAGAAATACAATGAGTGTGTGTGTGTATAGTACTTACCATTCCATATATACTGTATTAATGATGAAGGAGGTCCTTCTCTTCCAATAGTATCAATGGGAATAATAATAAATGAATAATTATTATGAACAGCAAGAGAACCAGCAGTATATGATGTAGTATCATTCACAGTATCCTGTTTAAAGACTGTTCCATTACTGTATACTGTGATATTGTACTGGTTTATGCTGCAGTTGTAATCCTGTGTGTTCAATGACCAACTGATTGTCAGTGCAGTATTGTTAATAGGAGTAATAGTTACATTAACAACTGACACTGATACTGGTGGACCTATTTGTGTGTATAGTATTATTAGCTATAATAAATAGTTGTGTTAATTACTAACCTGTCATTTTGATAGTAAACATAACAAAGCCATTTACAACATGATTTGAACAGCTAACCATAGTCCCATTCATTGATGTATTTACAGATGGTATGGTACCAGTACTTGTCACTGTATTACCCATAATACCAGTAACATTGAGTATAAGGACATCAAAAGGAGTTACAGCAGATAGAGTATTTTGTAGTTTTGCTACAATACTTGGCACAGCACTATACTTCCAATATGTATCTCCAGTATGAATTGTACAAGTAACTACTAGTCTATCATTAGGACACACTGGAGTATAAGATGGAGAGGTTTGAACCAACTCTGTTGCAGACGATAGTACAATAAGATCAACCAATACAAGACACCAGTAGATACCAGCAGTAGCAGCCATTAGTATAAGAGGAATAAGAGCTGAACAGTTTATAGAATAAACAATAAACTGTTTATGATGATGTTTTATACAACCACACCTTGAATAACTGCATGGTCATGCAGGTGCATATTAGATCTATACATACCTGTGGTAACACATTCATTAACAAATCACAAACAAGACTGTACTGACATAGCAAATGAGAATATGAGAGAATATTACAGAGGTCCAGCTTATAGTAGACACCCATGATAGCATAATAGCAATTATTATTACTATTTTTGTTGATAATGATACAGGTCAGGCAATAATGCAGATTGAGTGTTTTTGTAAAGTACAATAAGAGTAATTCTTTTCCCAGCTCATGCTTCTCCTCCACCTCCTCTTATAATGGCAATATAGTATACATACCATTAGCTATTATTATTGTGATTAAGTTCATATTACTTAAAATAAACAATGTATTGTTTATTGTAAGTAATTGACAATAACA